ACTTAAAGAGCTATATTCCACTGATGAAGACCTAGAGCATTCTATCCAAACTCTATTGCTCTCTGAGTTCGGTGCTTTCCAACAAAGCAAGATGAAAAACTTATTCAGGCTTTTGATCATTTCAACCATCTTTTGAGCAAGATGATCAAGCATGGTATTGGAAGAGAAGTGATCGAACAGAAGGTCACATTTATGAATGGTTTAAGACCCGAATGGATGGCTGTTGTTCAACTGTGAAGGCTCACGAGAAATTTAAAACCTATTCATTGGCGAAGATGGTGGGTATTCTTAAGTCCCATGAAAGCGTTGTGACAAAGGAAGCGAAAGTGGTGTCTGGTATGGGATCCCTGGCCCTTCTCTCTAAGGCGAAGAATGTGGCAGAAGATGAAGAAGAGTCAGAGATGTCAGAATGTGATCTGACAAGCGAAGAGTATGCAATGATGGTTTCCAATCCGAAGAGGTTTCGCTCGCAAAAAGTTTCCTATTGCCAAGAACCAAAACTGGTAGGGAAGCTATAGCTCAGAAAAGGCAAAACAGGAGATCAAAAATACTCCTCAGAAAGAAGAAGAGAAGAAGGAGAGCAAACTGGTTGGAGACTCTGGATACGACTGTAACTTCTGCCGTGGAAAAAACCACTTTGCAAAAGATTGTATGTTAAGGAAGCTCTCGGAGAAGAAGGAGGGTGAAGATGATGAACATACATATATATGCAAGCTGGAGGAGATAAAGAAGAAGAAATCCTCTAACAGTTCAATGAATGCTTTGATTGTGCAGGAGAACGTTGTGGATGATGAGTTTGGTGGTGTAGAGGTCTAGTAAACAGACTCTGAAGATAAGAAGTACGTAAACCCACACATGGAAAGGCATTTGTGGCCAAAGAAGAGAGTTTCTGAGTTCGCTGGGAGATGCCTGATGGTGACCGCTAGAGTGTCAAATATGAGGGGCTACTCAACCGAAGGCGAGTATGATGAAGCGAATCTGAAGGAAGAAAAGTGTTTTGCTGCCAAAAACCAGTGAGCGAGAGGATTAACGACTGTGATCAGTTGATCAAGAAGGTACAATCCATTCTCGTATCACTTAAAAACCCGGTAACAAACTATGAAAAGGAATTAAATGATTCGAACTTAAAATTTTGTAGTTTAAGTGGTAGCTTAATGCAAACACGCCTCACAAATGCTAACCTAACCGATCAAATTAGCAGGGTAACATCCAAAATGAGGAGCAAAGGTTGTGGATAGAGAAGACGGAGTTAGATTTAGTTAGGACAAGAGATGAAGTTATTGACTTGCAACGTGATAACTTGAAACTTATGAAACAAAGAAACATTTTTGCTTGATTGCTAAACGTTTATATACTAATATTACTCAATTGCATTTAGACTGTGAAATCGGCAAAAAGATTCACAAAATGATTTTGCCCTTCCTAGAGTTAAAGGAGGACGAAGTTGATATTTATGGTTATAACGTGAATCCATTGTTTCTTTAGATGAAATCTATGACGCCTATATAGGGTTGATCTAGACAAAATCGAGTCCTTTATCAAGTCCAAAGACCATAAGGACATGCTTAAAAATCTTTTGGACGAGAATGATAAATTGAAAATCAAGACCGAAACCATATAGAAATTTGACTCATTGAATGCCAAGTTAGTTCAGAAAACAAAATATTGTTGAGAACACTTCTGAATTTGACGAGGATAGTGATATGAGTGAAATTTCTGTAGAGGATGTGGTTGACTATTCAGAATTTGTCAAGAGCGAAACTGAACCCACCAAAGTCTTATATCTGAGAATTCGGTTGAGTTCGCTCGAGTGTCCCAAGATAAATCCAAAGGTTCTGAAACCGAAAGCAGTAGTTTTATCAAAAGGTACAAACTGTACCAAATCAGGTATACACCACGTCAGGGGTCACTCAGAAACAACAGCCAAGCTGACAGCTATAGTAAACGAAGATAACTCAGGTGGTTGTGATAATTATTTTTGGTCTGCTCCAATCGACAATGCAGATGAAACTGTCCGTTTATCAGAGAGAACCTCATAGAGGATAAAGCAGATACGTGACAGAACCACTCAACAAGCCTACAAGCTTTGATGTACCAAGCACAAGTGGTACAAAGAAATCCCAAGCGAAACTATGAATGACGGCTGCAAGCGCGCGAAACCTCTTCATTGAAGAGTTAAACTCGTACTGAGAGACCAAAGTCAAGAGCAAACATACACAAGTCTCAAAGCAGCTTGCTGAACAAAAACGCCAGCGAAACAAAAGGTATCAAATAATCTCAATGAAAGGAAGCAGTTTTGGAAACTCCCAAAACTCCAATTATGTTCGCACAAAAAAGGCATCAAATCTCAAGGCGAAAGTTGGATCAAAGGATAATTCTGATCCATGCACTCTCTGCCAATTCTGCAGACAAGCGAACTGAAAGCCTAGTTTCGGTCCCAATCCTTGCAGCGAAAAGCACCGAAAGACTAGTTTCGGTCCCAATACTGGCCTTGATAAGAACCGAAAGGCTAGTTTTCGCTCCTAAATCCCATCCTCCTCAATCAAAGCAGAATCCTAACAAATGTCAAGGACAGCAAGGGAAAAAAGGGAACCTCGTCTCTGAAGACAACTACAAATAAAGAAGAACGTCAGCTAACCCTAAGAATCATAAAATAAGTCCGATAAGAATCAAAACCAAAATCCTCAATCTGACTTAAACAAAATTAAGGTTTTTGACCATCAAAAAGGAAAGACGAAACCACACTAATAAAAAGACTTATATGTTTATCTTCTATTGTTATTATTCCCTGTTCTGTAAAAGGCTCACATGGACCCAAGCAAATTTGGGTTCCTAAATCTGCTTGATTTTGCAGTTATAAGTGACGAGCAGTTCGACGACGAATGGTACATTGATAGTGGCTGCTCTCGTCATATGACAGGAAATGAGGGAAGAGCTGGGAGTTTCGGGCTCTTAAGGATGGTAGATGTGTTAAATACTGGAATAATTCATATGGAATGATCAAAGGCTACGGAATGATCACAAACGGGGAATTCTCAATCCGAAGGTAGCATACGTAGAGGGATTGCAGTATAATCTCATCAGTATCTCTCTCAACTGGTGGTGGGAACTGGCTTAAAGGTTTCTTCGATGATGAAGGTTCAGAGATTATTGAAAGAAAAACGAAGGCTGTCTTGTTAAAATCCAAGCGAAAAAGAGAAATTATCCTCTGAATCTTAACC